TCACCTCTGTATTCTTTGTGCCACTGCTGCTTAGACTGTTAAGTAATTAATGATGAAAAGAAACATTTATCAGCACACATGTTACCATGACAGCAGTCATGAGTCATCACGAATACCCATCCATCTTCTGACAAAAGCTTAAGCATGAACCCAAACCAGCCACTCCAGAGTGCTCTAGCCACCGATGACCAAGGCAACCACTGTCATTACCAAAGTTTAAGTGCCTCAGGGTTTGGCCCAGAGATCATCTTTGGTGTGCCCTTCTTTTCCTGTGCAGCTGTTCCCCAGTGCATTACCATGACGTTCAGAGGAGCGGTCCTCAGTGGGCAGTTCCACTGGAAGTCAGGGCCTTTCTCTTTGGGGCTAAAGAGAAGTCCCAGGTAGCTCTGAACACGAGGTCTCGTCTTGTAGACTCTTGACTGGGAAGGGGTTTTAGCCTTCATTCTAGAGACAGGAACCTGAAGCCCAGGAAGAAGAGCAGTGGCTTAGGAGTTAGAGGAAAGTAGAGACAATACCCTCTACTGATTAGGGGTCCAGGGCTCCTTTTTGGTTTTCCTTTCTTCTCCATGATCCTTATATATCATACTCCCCTAAGATTTCCTCTAAAATTGTCTGTTGTATATTATTAAATCTGTTAAAATTTTTCAACTTTGGTATAATACTTTTATATTGTGGACTTAGATCAAACCTGTAATTAGAAGCCAATCCTGAAAAGCTGTGGCAGAATGATCCAGCAACATCCATGCGCCTCCTAGGCAGGGGGCCTACAAACTGTCTAATTGAATAAGTGACCATTAGCTTAACTGAGGTGACTTGCTGTCGTCTTCAGTTTGGGCTGCTGTACCAAGTGCCACAGGCCAGATCTGTTTCTCATAGTTCTAGAGGCTGAAGCCCAGTATCAGGGTGCCAGCACATTGGTTCAAGTGAGGTGGTTCTTCCTGATTGCAGATGGCTGTCTTCTTGTATCCTCACATCATAGGATGAGGGCAAGGCACTCTGAAGTCACTTCTGCGTGGCCACTAATACCTCTCAGAGGCCCTGTCTCCTAATGCCATCATGTTGGGGGTTAGGATTTCCGCATACAAAAGCAGATGCTTAGTCCATAACACCTGAAAAGGGGGTCAGTCTGGCTAAGCTAATCACATTTCCCAGAATTCCCTTCCTTGTATTTTGCAATTTAGGGTAGGCCCCAAGAAATTCCTGTAGAATATTTGGGGGGTGAACAGGAGACAGCTGTCGTTTTGACAGCACGTGTCAAATGTGCTCCAGCTCACCGTGTTGGCGTGAGGCAGCAGCAGAGCCCACACCCTTCCTGGTTCTCCTTCAGCTTCTCTAGCTTCTGGGCCTTGCCATGTATGTACATTTAGCTCTGTGACAAAGAGCCTGGTTTCTGCAAGACACTGTCACCCCAATCCAGAGGTGACAACCACTGACATGGGTTTCTGTCCCCGGGCTTCAGCTTGCCCTCGTGGTCCTAGCTTGCTGCTCCTACTTGTCTTCCTCTGGCTTCCTCCTGCTCTGTAGACTTCTAGCCCCAGCCTCAGAGGTCACAGTCTGAGAACTGTTCAGCCAGATCCCACATTTGTGTGATGTCACATGCCTGTCAAACACATATTGTACATAGAGACATGCACACAACCTCTTTAAAGTCTCTGCTCAAGCCCTGAGTGACGTACTCCTGGCCCCCAGAAGCCCTCTATCATTCATCGTGAATTAATTAGTAGCTTGGGCAGAGATTCCCATGGACTGTAGAACTGGGTCATCCAGAGTCCTATTCTCCTAGAACTCCCCATCTTATAGGGTAGTTCCAAACCTTGAATAATCCAAAGTAAGTGGATACCCCCACCCTCTTTAGTGACCAAGCATTACTAACATCTAGCAACAACAAAATGCTCCACAGCACTGAGGGGAGAAGGCAGCCCAGTTCTGAGGGAGACAGAGAAAGATGGCAGCCTGAGGGCAGAGGAAGCATGGGTCGCCAAGGCAGACCGTGGACAGTGGATTCTGAATGAAGAACAGAAGCTGGAACTTGCATGGGATTTCTGGAGCAGAAGAACTTTGCAAGAGCTCCATGGTGTCACTGTGCTCTGTGAAGGACATCAGTGTTTACTGCACACGTAGATTCCTGTCCATGCTGCCCAAGGAGCAGGTGGGTTGGAGTTTGGCTATACACGCCCATCTTCCTGGCTGCCCAGGTGCCCACTCAGAATGTGAAAAATTATTAGAGGCGATAGTTCAAGAAATGTTGATTTTTCACCTAGACCACCTACAAGTGGCTTTCAGTCTTTCACTTTTTAAGGTTCCAGATTCTTGGAATTCTGTTAGAAGCCAACACAAAAGGAGAGGTTAGAAGAAACCAGTGTGCCCTCATGGTCTCCGTTGACCTGTACTATGGATGAAGCCCTCAAGTCTTGGAGAGGTGCCTTCCAGAGGTTCCTCATTCTCAGGGTGTCATGCTGCTGACAGTCTAGGGTAATCCTGAAGGCAGAATCCAGAGAGTGAGGAAAACTGGCAGAGCAGGACTCCTGCCTTGCACTCACTGTATAGTTTTGCCATTAGGCTTTTCTCATGGTCCAGGTCACCTTTGTTAATAACAGACGAGAGACCCAAAAGCAGGTCTTCTGAACTTTGTTTTTAGCTTTTGTTTGTTTCTTTTTGAGGAAGGGTCTCACTGTGTTACCCAGGCCTCCTGAGTGGCTGGGATTGCAGGTGTACACCACTGCCCAGTTCTTAGACTTTTAAAGAAAACATCTTTCCTAAAGTCATAATCCCACTTGCCATAAGCATCCCACTTTCTGTCCTTTTGGACATCCCATAGACAGTGATGTTCAAAATTGTGCGTCCTAAGAGCTTGAGAAGAAGATTTACATTAAACAGGGATGAGAGGTGGGAGGGAAAGGGAGTGAGAAGGGAAATTGCATGGAAATGGAAGGCGATCCTCAGGGTTATACAAAATGACATATAAGAGGAAAGGAGGGGT